CAATTCGAAAACGTGTACAAAACAGGGTTAATCGATGAATTCACTGGTAAAACAAACACCGCAATCCACACATAAGCAAGTTTTTCTGGGTCTGGAAATTTCCCTAGCARYGACAACACTCCRATGATAATAATTGGCATCCAGCAACAGAAGTCAGTCAAGATAATGAACGCCATTTTTCTTGCTAATGCAGACTCAGTGTTCATTTGAGTTGATCGAACAGAACGACTAGAGCTTCGGACTTTCCAAAACATTATGATATATGCAACTAAAATGAAACTAAATGCRATAAAGTTCAAACCAATGAAGATAGCTACAGAGTATTCCCAGCCAGGAAATCGTTCATGAGAGAGCTGTAGAGGAAGACATACGCCTGACCTTCCATAAAAGCCCACTTGCCCATCATAATCATAAAAGTAGTCACTGTACAACATGGGGAATAATGCTATCACAAAACCAAAGATCCATATCAAAGTTACAACAAGCGCAGCAGATTTCATTTTAAGTCTTTTGAATTTGAAAGCAAATACAATAGTTGCGTATCTGTCCGCGGTTATGGTTGTTAATATAAGGACGGAAACTTCACTGGAAATGACAGAGAGTGCTCCTGCAAGCTGGCATACACGACTTGATCTCCATTGAAGGTCATTCTTAAAGTATACGCCTCTCCACTCAAGATCCTTTATAGCAATCATGAGTAAATACACTCCCATCATAAGATCAGATATCGCAAGATTTGTAAGTAAAAAAGAGTGGACTCGGTTTCTCTCCTTCACGATTAGCCTCCAGATAATAACACCGATATTCCCTACAAAGGCAAGGATCCCAAGAATCCAGATAAAGACTTGGAGTGCTTTGTTCTTCATCAGGTCGTCACAGCTCGAGAAGGCAGATGATGGCGATATACATGTTAAACCCTTGTTTAACATGGAGTTGTAAGCATAGCAGCAGAAGACGAAGCGATCTAGTGTGCTGTTGAGAAAGACCGACATAATTGGTAAGCCATCTATAATAAAAAAACACTCCTCTTTTCTAAGCTATGACACAATTAATGCAGTGACTCTAAAATGGAAATCACAGGCATCGCGTTGCAAGCAAAATGTAGAGTTCAAAAGCTCATGCTATACTTTGAAAATTGTTTTGTTGGATGGGTGATGCACTCTCCTAATATGTCGTCTTTTAAACATCGTCGAGTTCGTGCTTGGGGGTCGTTGGCTCGCGCCCTGCTTGCCCAACCCGTGAGTAGAGTTGTTTGATGCGTTGTTCTAGCTCGAGCTTATGTGCTCTAGCTCAGGTTCTCTGGGTTTTCCTCCTTCCGTAAAAATCACCATATTGATTGAGACGTTTGTGCATAGAATATTGAATGGAGTGAATTGAGTGTGTGTGAGAGACAGGGGTTGGGGAAGGGTATGTTTAAACCATTACTTAAAAATATGACCTATATATTAATGTTCTCTTAAAAATACGCACAACGTTTCACTTATATATATATAGCTTAACTTACAGTAGTCGTAGGTTCTGCAGGTGACTGAACGTCGTCTCATCTATACTTTGAATGTGGTTCTCATCGAGATATCTATCAAAGAATATGTGGTTTAATTTGCTACTGCTACTGCCATTCCTCGTCCCAAGAGGGAACATTTAGTGTCTTGTCACCATGTTGGTGGATATTGGGTGTATATTTTTAATAATTCCAACTTAGATACTGATCACTACCCACACATTACATATGTTTCTCGAATACAGAGGGTAATTTCCTAGGGCCTGAAACAGTGACAACTGTAGTTTTAAAAACAGCTTATTTCACGCTCTTCTTACTGTGCCACTCACTAATATTTATCGCTTCTGTATGGGACTGCATTTCCAAATAACGTTAAGCAACACAAAACTTGAGAATGGATTTCAATCCGGGGAGTGCAACTCTCAAAAAATCCTTGATTTTAGGCTGTTATTACTAAAGTTTCATTATTTTCTTAAAATTGTCCATAAAAGCAGAATTAACCAGCTTAAATTCCATAAATCAAGCTAGTCCCCGAAAAAAAAATTCGTATCATGCAAAGCCCAACGTCACAGCCAATACCAATCAGCGCGCGAGTTATTTTTAGCCTAGCTAGCAATGTGATGGGCCAGTAAAAGAGATCGAGTTGCATTTCACTATTGCGTAGTTTCCCCTGATTTCAATTCACTTACAGTTCTTCAAGATATCTCAAGTTTCTGAAAGTATTCTTTGAGACTCTCTTCAATTTGTTGTTGTTCAAATACCTGAAACACAAGTTTTCAAACATTATTAAACCACTCCTTTTTATAATACTGGTTGAAAATCCCTATGCTTAAAATCATCAAACAAGATGGTGGGTATGGTGTCACCACGAGATTTGCGAAATGACGTCTTCAATAGACCTCTTTATCTTGATAATAACTGGTTGCCCATTTCAGACCACATGTCATTCCCTTTGGTACTATCTTTTGTTTGTTTGTTTGTTTGTTTGTTTGTTTGTTTGTTTGTTTGTTTGGATGAAAATGATACAAAGAATCATATTCTCAAAGGAAAGTCAGGTTGTCTGAAATGATGTAAACAAACCGGCGCTGCAAGCTATCAGAAGTCTAGTTTCTGATGAAGCAATATATAGTACTTACAGAACTTTGAGACTTTCTAAGCTGTCAAAAACTCCATCGGGTAAGGCTTCAATTAGATTGTTTTGAAGATATCTAAATCAGGTTTAGAACAGATTTTGAGAATTATAATCCTTTTATAAGCTAAAAAAGACAATATTGTAATTGCAGCCATCGGCAACGAAAGGTTTATAAACTTACAAATGTGTTAGGTTCTTGACAAATTTAAATGCTTGTTTCTCGATATGGCTGATTTGATTGGATCGGAGACTCCTGTTAACGACCAATAACAAAACGAATTTACAATTATTGTGATGTGAATGGTATGGTTAGATACCAAACATCATAGTAGCTTTAAGGCTACGCGTTTTAGGTAGTTGCTGCAATCTTAACCAAAGCCTAGTACTGAATGCTTCAGTAGTCCTCTAGCATGATATTAGACGAAGATCGTATTTATTACCAAATTGAATAATCGATTGTATACTTACAGGACTTGAAGATTTTGGAGATYRTACARTGACTTGTMCTTTATGGTGCTTAAAAGATTACTACCTAAATCACTGATAGAAAGGAAACGTGTTTTTGATAACTGCTCTAGATTTAATCCCCAGTTATTGTGTTTAAAACCCAGACTATTTTTCCAAAGAACATAGCCTTAAGTTTGTAAAACAGAAAAAAAAAACCAGGTTCGTTTACTCCAGGTTTATGCAACAACAACAACAATGCAAGGACGAAAAATGAATCGAAAGGACACACGGCCATCGCTGTCCTTTATGCCATAAATACACATGACCATCGCTGTCCTTTATGCAATAAATAGATAAATATGTCGCGGATCCAGTATTGTAAGAAAGGGGTTCAACAAACTCAATTTCCTGAATATTCTCTTCATTTAAACGACAAGGCTTTTTTTTATTTTACTGAGCGTCACAAACATGATCGTCTTGGATCGTCCCCTGGATCCTCTATTGTTAAACTGGTCGCACACTGAAGAGATCTCCATGGTGTGATGTCCTCGCCCGAGTTTGTTTGTTTTTTGTTCTTTTTCGAACAACTGAGAGGCTCTTCGGAACTTCTTTGCTGATTTAATCTGGATTTTTCGTAAAACAACAGCGAGAAAATGTACAAACAAGCAAGTATATTTTAAAAAAAACGAAAAACAAAACAATGAACTTACAGCTTCTGTAGCCTTGATGATCCAGTAAATACGTTTGGCTGAAGCTCCTTAATAAAATTGAAATCCAATCGTCTAAATTGAAAACAAAGGCAAAAACAGAATGTCATTATTAAAAATCGATATCAACATTTTGGATGACTTATGTCTCTGAATTTTAAAATTCAGCCCAAGACTCTCTAATTTTACCTCTAAAATTCTCAATTTTTTTGGCACGAATCCGGAAAGAAAGGAAAAAAGAAAAAAGAAAGAAAAGAAAGCAAAAGAAAAGAAAAAAAAGTGATGAAAATGAGAATTAAGGTTTGAAAACTATTATCCCTGTTCACACCAGACCTCTAAACGTGTTTAAAAGTTGCTTAGTTTAACTAGTTGCCGTTCACACAACGCGTATGGCTACCTACCAAGTTTCAAACCTTGTTTAGCTAGACTACCTCGTGGAGGTTGTTTAAATGTAGTTTAAAGATTGCGGTCAAACCACGAGGGACGTCAGATTAACGACTAATCAAGGTTAGTTTGGTTAGGACGGGGTATTTGTCTTTTATCTCCAATTATCGTCACAACAGAATCAATAATACTTACAGTGTCGTCATATTTTTGAGTCCAGTAAACGAATACGGTGTAACACTCATTATATAGTTATGACTAAGAT